TAACATAAATGTATTAAAGCTTCTAATAATCTAAGATACTGAAGTAATTATTATAATACGATATTAGAATGATCAGTTGATATTTAATTCTTATATTTCAGAAAGTACGTAGATTGGGAATGGAATGTCAATTGTGTGAGGTAATAGTTATTGGCATACATTCAGAGCAGCTATACAGAACTTAGCTGCCTTACAATTGCTATTTTTTTTTATTTGATAGGAGGAAATGGGCATGAAGTTCCTCAGAATAACTTTGCACAAGAAAGCAAAAATCTTCTTTGAATATATTTCTTTAAAAAGAAACTGCAGCAACGGGTGAAGAATAGATTCAATTGAGCCATCACCACAAGGACATTCATAGAAATTTGTTAAATCTTCCATATAAATGTGCCTGGAATAGACTTTTATCTGGTGCTGAAAAAAAGTGTTTTTTTGGACTGTAGAGATGATTGAATTAGTGTAGTTGGATGATTTCCATCTGCCATTTTGATAGAGCTTGGGGAGGGCCCTCTTTCTGGAATTCAGTGTATACAAGCTTTTCTCTGAACAATCTTCTAGTCTGAGTGAATTTAGGAAAGTATGTGGAGTCAAGAGCAAAGCCACATGATAAACATTCTTGTGTATTCCATGAGGACTGGAATTAGGAGAGATGGAATTAGTCCAACTGGAAAATAATGTCATTTAAGCCAATAATTAAAGATTAATATCCATGCTCTACCTCAACCTACATTTTGCCAATTTCTAGCCTCAAAACTGCATTAAATATGTCCTTTGGGGCTTGGGGCATTGCGCTTATTAACTTGGTTTGTACAATTTCCATCAGCCTATAATTTAGGTAGGGACCTCACTGGGAACCATAGAGCAGCTGAGCCAAGAATTTGACTGTAAATAATTTAAAAGATCAGAGATTCCTTCTCTGCCTTTTGTATAGAACATTCTTAACATAACTAAAGAGGTATCCTGGACTTACAAAACCAGTTCTCTGATATTTGTGTTTCATGACCTGGAATCTTGAAAACAACACCTAAATATTTGAAAACCCTTACTTGCTCAATTTCCTGCCCGTCTTTGCACAACAAAGCTTCCTAAATGATTTAGTGCTGGAATTCATTGTTGGAATGTATTTCTATGCAACAATTACAGTAATATTCAGCCAGTAGATGGCAGCATTTACAAGTTTAGATCTATGGTATATATATTCGTGACCCGTCAAAACCACGCTCGACTAAACCGCGTCCGACTAAACCGCGTCACTGACATCATCAACAGGGCGACAACAACCAGCACGGAGAAAGAAGGGCGCTTTAAATAGCGCTTTGAAAGCAAGCCGATTCAACTTAAGGTAAGGGTTAACTTTAGGGTTAGGTTTAGGGTTAGGTTAAGGGTTAGGNTGGCTGGCAAGCCACTCCCACAAAGGAGGCGACACCCACAGAGTAGGTTCGAAATTTTTTTGAAACCCACCACTGATCCATGACTGCATGATCTTCATTTTCAACATTCTGTGCCAGTTTCCCAGCCAGTCTCTCAATCCTTATTTTCCTCCTCACCAGAGATGGGTTCCTACCGGTTCGTACCGGTTCAGTGGAACCGGTAGTGGAAATGGCGACTCGGTTGCCGAACCAGTAGGGACGGCATGTTCGCCACACCCCTGAACCAGATCCTCAGTTGCCATAACATCCTTTTAAAACATTTTTAATGTTCTATGCATGCACAGACCTATTTGCAGGCCACTGCACATGTGCGTGGAGTGTGCATAAGGCACAAGCAAAGAGAGAGCACATGTGCAAATTGCACATGCACCGAACCAGCAGTACCCCTGCTCCTCATGTATCATGAAACCTAGTTGGTCTCATGTCCATTCACCAGGAAGAGAAGGGAAAGGGGAAGGGATGGAAAAAGGAAGGGAAGGGAAGGGGAAGGGGAGATTTCTAATATTCTCTGCCAGATCCCCACAAGGAAACTCAATGCAGAAGCTGACAAGAAGTCTGAAATTGTTCCTGCTCCCACTCTCCACCCGCCCATCCTTGGTTATTCTTTTTCTCTCTTTACATAAGGAAATATCTCTGAAAGGACCTAGTTGGGCACTTCCCTTCCCTTCCTGGTGAATGGACATAAGACCAACTAAGTTTCATGTCTAATCTTGAATAAGAAGCACAGATATGTAAAGATGGCATTCACAGAGATCATTCTTGTACATTATTAAGGGTATAGAAAATTTTGCCGTGGAACCTTGCTGGGAACAAATTTGATTTTAGGAGGTCTGAGGGGCTGTTTCACCTTGATGAGGCTTTGAAGAAGGCAGCCTCCCAAAGGAGAACTTCATCCAGGGATGGGCTGCTGGGCATTCGCAGGGGTTCAGGAGAACCTCTAGCTAAGATTCTTTGCAATTCAGAGGACCCCTCAAACCAAACTCCTGGCTGGCCCTGCCCGCCCCACCCTGCCCCTCCCCTCCCAGGAGTCCCCATGCAGCCCGTTTTGGATGCAGGTGAGTGCAGGGTGCAGATGGAGGCTCAGGGAGGGTGAAAAATGGGCCGAAATGGAATTTCGGAAAGGCCAGGAAAAGGCCCATTTCCAGACTCCAGAGGGCCTCTGGAGTCTGGGGAGGCTGTTTTCGCCCTCCCGGAGGCTTGAGAAAATCCTCCAGAGCCCAGGGAGGGCAAAAATGCCCCCCACTGCCGTGGTGCAGGAGGCCAACTAGGCCACACCCACCATGGCCATGCCCACCCAGCAACCGGGCAGACAACCCCTTGCTAAAATTTTTGAAGCCCACCCCTGACTTCATCCCTCTTTCAATCCGTAGCTAGGCCATAATGCTTTGCCTGATAAAATTGGCTTCTGCAAGTAAGGTGTCACCTGAAGTACTGAGACCGAGTCATCAAAAAGGAACATTCCCCTCTGACACATCCCTGTTGTTTTCTTCTAGAGATTGTAAGGGAGGTTGAAATCTAGCACAAAGGACACTTTGCTGGTGTTTATCTTTTACTATGAAAAAAAAAAGTCCCACACGCTAAGATCAAGGGCATGATTTCTTCATCCTTTTCAGAGCAAATCTTACTCATCATTTGAAGTGGTCACCCTCAGATGTTGATGAAGCTTCCTAGCACTTCTTAAGAGTCATGTGGTGAGTACATAACTTTGGTCAATCGTCTAGTCCAGGGGTGGGTTACAGATTTTTTCACTGCCAGTTCGCTC